ACACACACACCTCTTTCTCCATTGCACCCCTTCACACACACACACACACACAAACACACACACACACCTCTTTCTCCATTGCACCCCTACACACACGTGCCCGCGCGCATCTTCTTGATTCTACCTTCTAGCTGTTCTTCAATTAGCCAGCTTCCTTCTGTCTTCTCTGCCACTATGCTACGCTAAGCTGTAAGCCTCTGGTCCTGACTTCTACAGCAGCCCCCTTACTGGTTTCCCTGCCATGTGTTTTGTCTTCCCTCCAACCAGTTCTCCATGTTGTATGTAGCCAGAGAGAGCTTTTAAAATTGCAAATCTAAGTTTGTCACCTCTCTTTATAAAACCTTTTGGCCAGGCACGGTGGCTCATGCCTATAAACCCTGCACTTTGGGAGGCCAAAGCAGGTGGATCACCTGAGGTCAGGAGTTCAAGACCAGCCTGGCCAACATGATGAAACCCCGTCTCTACTAAAAATACAAAACAATTAGCTAGGCATGGTGGCTAATTACATGCCTGTAATCCTGGCTGCTTGGGAGGCTGAGACAGGAGAATCACTTGTGCGAGGGAGGCAGAGATCACAGTAAGCCATGGTAGTGCCACTGCACTCCAGCCTGGACAACAAGAGCAAAACTCTGTCTCAAACCAAACAAACAAAAAAACCTTTCAGTTTTCCTCAGACTCCTAGGATCAAATTCAGTCTTCTTAACACAGTCTACAAGGCCTTTCAATACTGACCTCAGCCTGACTCGTCAACCTCATTGTATGGTATCTCTTTCCACTGAGTTTTCTTTTTTTTTTTTTTTTGAGACGGAGTTTCGCTCATGTTACCCAGGCTGGAGTGCAATGGCGCGATCTCGGCTCACCGCAACCTCCGCCTCCTGGGTTCAGGCAATTCTCCTGCCTCAGCCTCCCGAGTAGCTGGGATTACAGGCACGCACCACCATGCCCAGCTGATTTTTTGTATTTTTAGTAGAGACGGGGTTTCACTAAGTTGACCAGGATGGTCTAGATCTCTTCACCTCGTGATCCACCCGCCTCGGCCTCCCAAAGTGCTGGGATTACAGGCGTGAGCCACCGCGCCCGGCCTCCACTGACTTTTCTATACTAAGAAACTAATATAGGCCGGGCTTGGTGGCTCATGCCTGTAATCCCAGCACTTTGGGAGGCCAAGATGGGTGGATCACAAGGTCAGGAGTTCAAGACCAGCCTGGCCAAGATGGTGAAACCCCATCTCTTAAAAAAAAAAAAAAAAAAAAAAAAAAGACACTAATCTTTCAGTTCTGTAGGCCAGGCAGTTCTTCCCCTAGGCTTGTGCACCTGCTGCCCTCTCTGCGTAGAAGTTTTCCCCCTTTCCTTTCCCCCTAGGTTACTCCTACTTGTTTTTCATGTTCCAGTTGAAATGAGAATAATAACATTTATTGAACAGGTACTCTGTGCCATCATTGGTTTTAGTGCTTTATGTATATTAACTCATTTATTCCCCACTATAACTTGAAGTAAAAGCTGTTACCTTTTTTTTTTTTTCTTGAGACATAGTCTCGCTCTTTCACCAGTTTGGAATGCAGTGGCGCAATCTCAGCTCATTGCCACCTCTGCCTCCTGGGTTCAAGAGATTCCCCCTGCCTCAGCCTCCTGAGTAGCTGGGACTACAGGCGCATGCCACCACGCCTAATTTTTTTGTATTTTAGTAGGGACAAGATTTCACCATGTTGGACAAGATGCTCTCAGTCTCCTGACCTTGTGATCCTCTCACCTCAGCCTCCCAAGGTGCTGATTACAGACATGAGCCACCTCGCCCAGCCCTTTTTTGTTGTTGTTAAGACAGGGTTTCACTCTTGTTGCCCAGGCTGGAGCACAATGGCTTGATCTCAACT